TTCCTTAGGCTGAAAGCTAACTTACCCTACCCTACAAGATTGTTGTGAAGGTAAAATGGAGAGGAGGAGGATTCCGTAGGCTGCCTTGGACTCCTTGGTGGGATACACATGCAAGGAAATGTTTTGTTCTTGGGGTCAGCCTAGATGGCCTCTAGGAATACCTTGTCACTCAACATCTCTGATCACAGAGTGAATCAGGATTCCCCTTCCCTCATCAGCCAGCAGCTTTTGTTCTCTTAGGCCTGAGAGGTTGCGGGGAGTCCAGCCGCAGCACTCGAATGCAAAAGCAAGGAGAGAGGAGCTCAGGAAATTTGGGGGGAACCGGAGGGCTGTTGGACTGGGAAGGGTGTGGCCCATGCCTAGAGCTCAGCAGAATAAGAAAACAAAACACCACAAGCCTCTGATGTCCTCCTTCTCGGGAAAGGGAAGCCTGAACACGTGCCGCGACTCCTGAACTCCTCCCTTCTCACACAGGAGCGCGGCTAAGCGTAAAGAAATGTTAGTGAGCATTCCGTGGCATGCACAGCATGGCTGGAGAAGGTTCTTCTCTGCTTCGGGGGGCCTTGCGGGAGCCTCGCCGTGACGCTGGCCGGGGCGTCTGTGTACTTTCCTGCCGCTCTTGCTTAACATGCAGCTTTCAGAAAGGTCAGCTGCGAGCGCCCAGTCCCGCCTCTCTCATCCGCCCGTGAAGGCAGGCCAGGAGAGCCAGACGGCAGGACACACGCGAGCGGAGCCAAGGGTCCACGCCCCCACACAGCACAAGCATGCCACAGGAACATCTGGCGCAAGGCAGGCCAGGCCAGGCCGGGGAGAGCGCGGAGCCCGGGGTGTGGAACGACTCCCCCGGAAACGTCCAGGAGGAGGCGGCCCACGGCCGGAGGAGTCCATGTGCTGGATGGGCTGATATACAAGGCGCTGGCTGCCCGAGGGTTTTGTTGCTCCTGGGCTGGCAGCAGGCACCCGGGTGGGAAAAGGGGTCCCGAGGAGAAAGCCTCCCCTGGTTTCCCTGGGACCCCACGTGAGGAGGGTGGGTCCTTGCGGGCGGCATTTGAAAACCCTGCCTGGCAAAGGTAAAGGCAAAGGCAAAGGCAAAGGCAAAGGCAAAGGCAAAGGCAAAGGCAAAGGCACGCTGCCCCGACCCTTGGCTCTGGCTGCCTCTTCTCCTCCCTTGCTCTCCTTTGACTCTTGCCCCCCCACCTGCCGCACGGGCAGGGCACCTGCCCACAGGTGAGCTGCTCCGGGTGAAGCGGCCCGGCGGGCTGCCTGTGCCGTGGCCGCCGGTGCGGTCTACGTGGCCGCCTCGCCCGGGAAGCCTCGCGGGCAGGCAGGCAGGCGCCCTCCAAGCGCAGATCTCCAGCGAGCCCACCTCCCGGGGAACTCAGCAGCTGCTCTCTGCTCCTCCTCCTCCTCCGCCAGAGGAGCCCAGGAGCCTGAGGGGGCGGCTCGTCAGCTTGGTGGCCCTGCTGACCCTGCTGATAAAGGAAGTCCCGCCGGCCGTGGCATCTCTGCCAGGCCCGGCTCCACTCCACTCCACTCCGCCACGCCACCAGCGCTGGCGGGCCTCCACCACCCGGGGCGCCTGCACAGATCCGTGGGGCAGGACTGCGGTGGTGCTGAGCGAGGCGAGCAAGACCCGGCAGGCACGCTCGGGACGTCCCAGCCCTCCGCAGGCTTTACGACCGACCCAGCCTTGTCGCTCGCTCGCGGGGCTACGTGCAATGTGCTGGGCTGACCTCTCCGTGTTGCATAATCTGCCTCGCCAGGGGCTTCTCCAGGGGAATCTTGACAAAGCGAGGCATCCTGCCTCCAGATAGGGTTATCTCGTTTCAGAGCAAGAGCGGGGACCAAAGGCCCAGATCTTGCCTCCCACTATGGCCGGAAGCCTCCGAGCAAAACAGGAAGCTCCTCTCTCCCCATTTGGCCCTCCGCCTGGAGCTCGGGCCTCTACCCCACTCCCCAAGGGCACTTGCTGAGATAAAGGGATTGTGCCTGATTCCCCCGGGTGCTTGCGTGAGCTCCGTCCCCCGCCCCATTCCTCCCCTCTGCCGCTTTCTGCTGGGCCCTGGAATCACTGGGGTGGCAGCTGACACATCCGAAGAGTGCGGGGCCAAGGAAACCCACCTCAGCTTTCCGTAAGCGTAACTATTTAAATATTGAACTTTGCATTGCCACCGACCGACGAAGAGATCGGCTGACCCCAAAAGCTTGCATTAGCCTGTGTCCTGCCATTATTGGTAGTTTTGTGGAGACAGATTTAAAAACAAGTGGGATTCCTTTAGGGGGCAGAAAGAGAAACGGGATTCTCTGCTACGTGGGCTGCACAATTTAATATGTTTGCAGAGGGTAAGAAACGTGGAGGCCAAGCCAGCATCCTTGTTGCCAAGCCCAAGGCAGCTTCTTCATGTGTTTAATCACTGATTATCACCCTGCAGCTACAGAAACAGATAAGCAGGCCTTCCTCTGCTCTGGGTGCGTTTCCCCCAGAGGCAACTGCCAGCTTGGGCATGGCAGCACGGACACACTTTCGACCACACGCTCTTTCGTTGGTGTGGACTGATCCAGCAGGAGATACGCACTCCTTGGAGTTTATTTTGGGGTGATGAAGGAGGAAATAATTGGCTGGGTTGGTCTCCTGTGGAATTTAAACAGAACCTCATCTCTATTTGCATACGGGGAGGGATAAAACAGCAAGATGGCAGGTTCAGGCAAATGCCTTGCAGGAGACGGGGAAAGGCAAGCGACCATGGAAGTCTGGGAAAGATTTTGACGGGCTTCCAATGCTCCCGCGGACGCCCTGTGCGAAGGGGAGGGGCGGCAGTGTGCGAGCATGTCTGGGGGCTGTCACATCGCCCCAGTCCTCCCCTCCCTCCCTCGCTTCCCTGGCGAGTTGCATCCCGCTTCTGCTGCCCCTCGTAACTCGGCTATTCTGCCTGAACTTTGCTCCAGGTGCACCGCGAGGTTCAAAGTGATTTTGGAGATGGGTGGGACAAGAAAGGGAGGGTGCAGTTACTGGAATGGTATTTATTTCCAGCAATATTTTCCTGCTGACCCTGGGGCACTTGAGTTATGGGGCGAGACAGAATGATATCATGCCGAATCATATGCAATTACAAACTGCAGACCTCCCGCCATTAGATCATGTTCAGCTGATTTATCACACAGGTGAACCACGGGGTTGGAAGGGGCCTTATAGGCCATCTAGTCTCACTCACTGCTGAGGGAAGGCACCCCTCAGGAGCTGAGATGGGGGGGGGGATCCAATCCCTGCTTAAAAGCTTCTAAGGAAACGGAGCCCATTAAACGGGGAGAAGAGGCTACCAAGCAGAGGTATCACGCAGAATTTTAATAACCGGGGGAGGGGGGCTGCTTCCATGGCTAGATGAGCCTTCCCCACATCCCAGGAGGGCTGGAGAACTCCAAAAGTGTGCTTCCAAAGTGTGGCCTGCCTCCCAGGGACCTGGCCTATTTGCCCCTGCCCAAAACTGACTCGGAAGAGAAGCGCACCGCCACTTTCCACGCCTTTGCTGCTCTTGGAATTCACTTCTGGGTAGCGGTGAGGAGGTGAGCTGGGGCAGGTGGGGAAAGCCCAAACACTTGGGCTTTATCCTGTCCTGTGGGCTTGAGCTTCAGGTCTTTTCGGTACTGAGCACTGCCCCAGATCCCTCCTTCTCTCTCTCTCTCTCTCTCTCTCTCTCTCTCTCTCTCTCTCTCTCACTCACTCACTCACTCACTCACTCACTCACTCACTGCAGCAAGAGAAGTGCCGTGTTCTTCCCACAATAAACAAGCAAGGGAGTGAGCCGGGAAGAGTGTCTGCTGGCCTGGGCGATGCTGCTGAGCCTTTTTGGGGAGCGGAGTCTTGGTTCCTGTCTCAAAGTGGCAGCCCCGGTCTAAAAATGTGAGGGTCTTAATTTAGGTCTGCCTTTGGAGCAGCCGCTGCAACGGAAACCGCGGCACACAGCTGTGCCCTCCTCAGACTTCCTCTCTGGGCCAGGCTGGCTGCCGGCACAGCAGCGAGGGAATGGGCCTGCGGGGAGGCGGGCAGGACCTTCCTGGAATGGGGCGGCCGTGCCGTGGAGTTCATGGCCACCCCTGTTCACACCAGGGCCCTCCACTAAGACGAGTGGGTCTCTGGAAAAGCTTGGCGCGCTGCTTGGCCCGCCTGCCCACCCTGTTTTTTTCTTTTACTTGCATAACACATTGGACGAAGCACTACTTTCTCAACTGCAGTAAACTAGCCCCGAATTGAAATTCTTTGAAATAAAACAAACATTCTCATGTACTGATATATCCTGCAATCCATACTGACCAATAACATCACCTCTGGAGTCACTTTATACTCAGGATAAAAGAATGCGACTAAACAAAAACATGCTTCAGGAGGGTGTTTCAAGTTCAAAAATGTTTCCTGTTCTTTTTCATTGAAATCATAACAGAGTGTGGCCAGTTAGTTCGTTTTGCTCACAGAATGCCGATGAAAGGCACTGAGGCGCCGAGACACGTGCAGAGTCTGCCCAAGCAGAGTCCACCCTGGACCTCATTTATACATACCTCCACGTCCTTTAGGAGCAACCAGCCCTCTGGGGGTCCCAGGACAGGGCGGGGATGGCCCCAAAAGCAGTGCAGGGATGGGCCACCTCAGGCCCGGGGGCTGCGTGACACAGAAGGCACCCCGGGAAAGCCGGCTGCTCCCTGCAGGGTCTGTCGAAACCCCCCATCTTTTGCTTTCCACCTGGCAGTTTTCCCGAGGGCAGCCCGCAGGATGATGGGCGATGTAATGCAGCCCCTCTGGAGGGCGCCGGGCTGGCCAAGGCTGCCCGAGAGGGTCCGGGATGGAGGGCAGCGTGGGGCAGGTCTCGGAGCGCCCCGGCCCTTCCGGGACCGGGGCCCTCCACCGCGGGGGCGGCCGGCGCGACGCGCTCCCCCCGCCGACCTCCCCAGCGGGCGAGGCCAAGGGGAAAGAGGAGTGCCCGGCGAGGGAGGAGACAGCGGGCGCCTTCGGGCGGCGGCGCAGAGGCGGCTTGCGACGCGCGGCGCCGGACGGAGCCCCCTCACCTCGCGATGCGCGGTAAGTCCCGCCCGCGCCGAGGCCGCCCGCGCCCCGCGCCCCGCGCCCCGCTAACCCGCGCCCTCTGCTTTCCTGCCCCGCAGGGCTGTGCGGCGCCTTTTCCGTGGCCACGCTGCTGATGCTGAGCGCCGGCCCCGGGACGTCCGGCTCAGGTAGGGACCGTCCCGCGCCCCCGAACCCCGCTCAGCACCGGCAGCCCGCTTCTCCAGGGAGGCAGTGCATGCGCGAACGCGAGGGGGCTCTCTGGGGGGCTCTGTGCGCGCGCCTTTCTCCAGGGCGCCGGGCGCGCGCGCGCACGGGCGCCCGTCTCCGGGGAGGGGTGCCCGAGGGCGGCGGGAGAGGCTTGCCTGCCGGGCTGCTGCAGGCGACGCGCATCCCTGCGTTCTCGGGAGGGCCCTGCCGGACCCGCTCCGGTGGTCGCGCGTAGAACCGCCTTTGCGGCGGGCACCTTTTCCTGACCTTGCTTCAGGTTTTAACCGAGCCATCCATGGGCTCTGGATCTCTTCTCCAGCTGCACCCTCTCCTCTCCTCTCCTCTCCTCTCCTCCTCTCCTCTCCTCTCAACATCCCAAGGCAAGGGTGCTAATTTTTGCGCTCAGATGCTTGTGCTCTTGAATCCGATTGTACGGGAGCGCGAACCTTTCCAAATGCGTAGAGGAAGGCAGTGCCTGACGAGGGCAGCTGCGTACCCGCTGTGTGCCTTCAGGTGCCAAGTGAAAGGCTTCCTGGAATCCCACTTTTTCCATTTGAAAGAAGTAGCATTAGGGCATTTTGGAAATTCGCACAGCTTCTCTTGGTTTACTTTTTCTGTTGGAAAGATCTGGTTTTCATAGCATGTTTTACTGTGTTGCTGCACTTTGGTGTTTTTAGCTTTGTTGTGTGAACTGCCCTGGGAACCTCAGTGAGACGAAAGCATAGAAGTGTAATTAATTTCTCACGACTTTCTGATCAGGACCATTTTTGGCAACAGGCTTAATGGCAAGGGCCAGAAAGGTTTTGTTTTAATGTTATGGTTAACAATTCATGTTATAGCATTAAGACGATGTGATACTTTTATCAACAATAAAAAGGTGTTGCAAGAACTTGTTAACTTTAGTTGAAGGATCCAGTAAAAACTATGAATGGGTTTATAAAATATCACTCTTCACAAAGATTTGCATGAATGTAATCGGATGCCATGGTGCATTGCTTTCCTGACAGCTCTCTGTCTGTTTCAAAACATCTGCCTTTTAGAAAACGAGCCCCAAAGAAGAGCTGGATTTTGTGGGAGCTTCTGGCTGGGTGGTGGGGTGTGCTGCCTGACCAAAGGCACTGCAAAGCTTTTTCTTCCTTAAGGGACAACTCCTCCTAGGAAAAGTGAATGAAAATGGTATGGTTTATCTTAGAAAAAAGAGGGGTGAGGGGAAACAGGACAGAGGCGCACAGAATTCGTCCTGGTGCAGGGAAAGTGGAGAGGGATCTGCTTTTCTGGCCCCCCACCGCAATACTACTGGAACCCGGTGGAATCATCCCATGACGCTGATAGGTGGAAGATTCAGGGTCGAGCCAAGGGAGGGCTAAGGAAACCCAGCAGGGGCAAATGCCAAGTTCTGCACAGGGGAAAGGAAAGCAAATGCACCCCGGCAAGAGGGGGAACACTTGGCTCAGCAGTGCTGCAGACAAGAAGGGGCTTAAGACTCTTGCAGAGCGCCACGGTGTGATGTGGCGGCAGAAAGGGCGCATGCCACTCTGGGCTGCGTTAATGGACGGCGCACTTCCCAATCACGCGCAGTTCCCCTCCACACAGCACTGGCTCGGCCTCAGCTGGGGTACTGGGCCCAGTTCTGGGCACCAGTGCTTGGAAAGGATGCAGACCAGCTGGAAGGGCCACAGGGATGGTCCGGGGACTGGAAACAAAGCCCCGTGAGAAGGGATGGAAAGAACTGGGCACAGCTGGCCTCAAGAAGAGAAGACGGGGGAGATAGGACAGCTCTCTTCGAGGACTTGAAAGATTGGTTGCGGGACCAACGGTGCTGCTGCTGGGAACCAGGGGCACTGTGAGTCCCTGCAGTCGCTCCATCTGGGCCGCTGTGGCCCGAGACGGCTTGGCAGTGGCCTCAACGGTGGGGGTCAGGCAACTGCTGAGCGCCAGCCCCAGGCCCGTGCATAGCACTTGTTTCTTGTTCTGCTCCTTGTCTGCTTGTTTCGCTTCCTCGTTCGTTCATTTTGAGGCAAGGGCCCCCCTTTAATGACCCGCCGCCCAAGAGACATGCCTCGCCTGAGTGTTCCACTCGGCCAGGCGGCCCCTGCACCTCTCCCGCTGACAGGCACAGCCCCGGGCTGCTCCACTGCTCCGAGGGGAGCCAACAGGCCTCCCCTCGTCCTCGCCTGCTCATCGCCCCCACACTTGTGTCCCAGTCGCTCTGGCTTGTGTTAGGAAAGAAGGGGGAAGGGGGTGGGGTGGGAATTCTCTCAAGATGCAGCCCAGTTCGGCGGCGGCCCTAGGAAACATTCCTGAGCAAAACGCAAGAACTACCAAGCCATGCACCCCGCCAGCGGCACTGTTGCCAGAACATCTGGTTCAGCCACTCGTGCAGCCAGTGTGGGCTCTCCGGAGCCCAGGGCAATTGTGCAACAGCCCCTGTGGGAGGCGGATTGGAAGGAGAGAAAACAGGTGCTGGCCGGCCAGCAAATCCCAGACGGACCAAGCGCCGCCCCGGCCTGCCCTCTGCCCCGGGCGCGGTGATTCTGCCTTGCCTCGTGCAGCCATGCTGGCTAGAAAGGAGAGTACCGCTGAGGGCGCGAGGAGTGCCCTTCCTCATCGGGATCTCCCCCTGCCGGCCGGGCCTTATGAGGCCGAGGAAGGCGTGCGTGGGCCAGGACAGGGCTGTGTGCGCCAGCTGCCTGCTCCCCACATCGGCTGCTGCGTTCAGGAAAGTTCCTGTTTGTAAACACTGGCGCTTGCTCATTCGAGGAAGAGCGTGGCTTTGTGTGTGTCACAGCAGGGCTGCTTTGCCCTGGAAAGCAGGCACGGCTGCCCTGTGGGAAGAGGCCGGAGCCAAGGCACGGAGCCACAAGGGAAGACCAAAGGGGGCTGGCCTCCGACCAAGGACCAGGTGGCACCTCCTTCCCGCCCACGCGCAAAGCCCAGCCGGGCTGGCGACAGGCTAGTTCTGGGGGGCATGGCAGACTCCTGTCACCCACCAGCTCCTGCTGCTCGAGGCGAGGGGTGCCTGCCCCACTCCCCCGCAGGGCAGGGCCAGCCCCCCCTGTCCAAGGAGAGCCACTGGCCAGGATGAAGTGGTCCAAGGCTGGAAGGCTGGGGGTCTTTGGCCAGCGTGCCACGGACCCTTCCCTCGGTGCTCACCAGCTGCCCGCCACTCCGATTTTTCGCAAGGCTTTATCTGTTCACTGGGAGGTTGTCAGGCCGCAAAACAAGGACTGCCTGCCTCGAGCGGCACCTTCATTTGGATTTAATGAGCAATTTGTGTTCTGGAGCGTAGCCTGGTCTCTGCCTTGGACTTAGGCTTAAGGGCAAGTTACTTTTTTTAGTCCCTCTGGTTTGCTTTCTGGGAAATGGGTATTTTATAACTGGCCACATCCTCCAGAGCAGCCATTTTCTGAGGGAATGGCTGGGAACACTCAGGGAATTCCACACATGCTCACTGTCCCAGAAAGTTTGGCCTGGCCTTGGTGTGTCTTAAAAGCAGCGTCTTGCTGGTGCATCTCCAAGGGATGGTGCACCCAGATCCAAGCTGAACCCTAGCTGCTCCTGGCAGCGTGAATGCAATCAGATCTGTGGGTGCGCATTTATCACCTCACACTTGACAGGGATAAATCACATGCTGCCTCGCTCCCGATAACCATGATAGCTGCTGAGAAGTCTTGGCTGTTGTAGCTGTTGTTCAGCAGGCATTTGGAAGCAGGATGCCTGCTCCACACAGTCGTGGCTGCATGAGAGAACGCGCCCAGCCAGCTCTCTTGGGGGCAGAATGGGGGCTTCCAGGGAAAGGGTCCACCGATAAGCTTCCAAAGAACCCTCCATGCCTTTCTGGGACTGGGGCTGGGAGCGGGACCAGAGCAAAACCACAACCACAAGCAGCTCTTGATGGAGAAGCCAAGCATTGTTGGAAGCAGGGCTTGCTGGAGCAAGATAAGAGGCCCTCTGCCACTTCCCAGCTGCAGGGCTTATTAATAAAAGTGTCGCCGCCGCCACGCCTACGATCTCCAGAACTTGGAGAAAGCAACATAACTGCAGAAAGCTTTCCAAAGCACCCCCCCCCCCCGGCTCAAATGCAAGAGCCTGCGGGAAAAGCCTGGCACAGCTTTTCGAAAGGGACCCACAGGCGTGGATGGAGTCCCTGATGGAACCAGGTCGTCAGCAGAAGATCCGGGTTGTGGCGCAATGTGAAAGCATGTTCTTCAGTTGACTTATGAATGCTGAGATGGGGGCGGGGGGGGCAGTGACTGTCTCCTCTTACTGCAGAGCTGGAAGCGAGTCCTGCCCGGGTCCAGATGTTTTAGAAAGATTTGGTAGTGTGCAACAGCTCATGGCGACACATCTGCTGGGCTTGAAGCGCGGATGCTCTCTCTGCAGCTGTCGCTTTGTGTGCAGGAAGACAGGATCTCAGGGGACTGTGGTGTCCCTGTTTCAGGGAAGCGTGTGGTCCCCGAGTTGCAGGAGGAGCTGAGCTTGAATTGACCCACTGAGGGCCTCTCGTCACAGGAATAAGGCTTGCCTTCTCTTTCCACATGCTTCCGATACACTGCACCGGAGTTGGTGTGATCCAGATGTGTTGAATTACAACTCCCACGGTGGGGAGCCATTCATACCGAGACTCCCAATCTGGGGAAAGCATCAACAAAAGGAAACGGGGGAAAGGGTGCAGCTTTGCATAAGATTTGGCGTTGCTAATTTATGTGAGAAAAGCGGCTCTTTTGCCACTCCCGGGGAATCTCTGGCTCAGCTCAACTTTCACCGGAACTATTTCAGGTCCTTCCAGTTGTTGTAGGAACTGTAATTGCAGGATTGGTGCTCAAGTTTGTTTTCTTGTCTGCTCCTTCTTCCGCATCCATTTTTCCTTGTGTGTCACAGTTAGATTATAGACCTACTCGGGGGGCCAGGCCTGCTGACGCGTTTGCAAGTCATTCTGGGGGCCTCTTTTAGTCAGAGGAAGAGTAAAGGACTGCAGCTAAAAGAATTACAGCAATGGAAATGCAGTGCATCTTGCGGTGGCTGCGGAGATGACGATCAGGCGGCTGGCACACTGCTCGGTCCGTCCTCTTCAGTGCTGCGCTTTGTGGGTGGCCAGGGATGCCTGAGAGCCGATTTGCGGGTGTCCCTGCCAGCATGGTTGCACTATGCCATGGTGGGGAAAGCATCCAGGAAGAAGCGGCCTGTTCGACGGTTGCGTGACTGAGCTGCAGCCCTTTCTGGGCCACGTCCATTGATGGAATGTCTTGGCCAATATGCCGAAAAAGAAACAAGGCGAGTTGGAAGGGGTGCCCCGGGCCATCTAGTCTGACCCCCGGCTCCAGCCGGCTCCGCTCACGACATGCCCTCCATGTGCATGTCTAGCCTATCCTTGAACACCCTCACAGATGGGGCCTCGATCACCTCCGTGGAAGCCCATTCCATACCACTAAGATGGACCACTTTAGGAGGGGGCTATGTAGTTTTATCAGATTTATACCATCAGAAGGAGAATCCTGGCGCCTCGGGGCAAACATGCGGTGTTTTGCCACACGGCCCCTTTTAATGTTTCCCAAAAAAGAGTTTCCATTTGCACACAGATCCTGGCGACTCTTGCATAACCGTTGCTGTGGATAGGGGAGTTCCCTTGCTATCTCCAAAGATCCTCGGATCACGAGCCCTTCCCCATCTTGGTTTCCTGGGTGTGTTTAGTCCTTCCTGCTCTCATAGAAACACTTCATTTGTTGGCATCCCATAATAGATCTGAGCTTATATATCACAGCTGCCGTATGGTACAGCCACAGCTTTTGTGACATGGAGCGAGGTTCCTCCATTTGCACAATCACAAGCCACAGACCTTTTCCCTTGCAAAACTCGCTGTACTGTGCCAAGTCACCCAGCATGGATCTCTGAACATGCGCAGAGCGCTTTGTTGGACCCAATCTAGAGTTTACCTTCACGTGCTTCATGAAGCTGGAAGGACTCGCAACAGAGTGGTTGTGTTGCACTGTATAAAATTAAGACATTCTCTGTGCACTGCTAAATTGAGGCAGCTGCACTAGTCTGCCAGAGCACAACATACAGGTACGGATCAGGTGGAGGAACATGATAAACCCCCCTTAGTTCCTCAGCCTTGACAAAATGCAGCTACATGGAAATCGACAGTGTAGAAGCGAGTGGGATGAATAGGAGATTATTTAGATGTAGAGAGTAAGTCAACTGCGAACGGGAAGATGTTGGTAAGAAGAAAACACCTGAGGCGTGAAAGGGTCACGAAGGAACTTCGACTTCTCTTTGTGTTTGGGTCAAACAGAGACGATCGCTAGACTAGGAAGAGGTGCATAGGGGATCAGAAGGCAGTGAACGAAGGCATTATTCAGCGGAGATGAAATATTGTAAAAGCTTTGGGTCTGGTTGTGTTGTATGCTGCCTATATACATCTGCTGGCTGCCCAGGCCGAAGCATTTCCAGAAGGACGGCTTTGCTGGGCTGCCGGAGCAAAAAGAGCCAGAAGACTTGTGGCGCCGGGAAATCTCAGCCGGTTGTCAGAGAGCGCACCAAGGAATGCTTCCGAGGGTCTCGACACCTTCTCCATTGTCTCTTTCCCGACAGTGAATCCCTGCTGCTATTTCCCTTGCCAACACAGGGGTGTGTGTGTCCGGGCTGGCCCGGAGGGCTACGAATGCGACTGCACCCGGACGGGATACTCCGGCACCAACTGCACGGCACGTGAGTGCTCTCTCCTAGCGCACACACCCGTTCCCCACAGCGCGTGTTGGTGCTGGGCACAGAAAGAGCGACTCTGGATGGCGCCCCCAGGGGGACTGGGAGCATAGGCACCATCATGAGGAGCGCCTGGAAGAGCTGGGCATGTTTAGCCTGGAGGGGAGACAAGGAAGCAGTCTTTCAACCTCTGGGGGCTGGCCACAGGGAGGACGGGGTAAATAGACGAGCCTAAGGAGGTGACAGTCCGGCTGGATCAGAGCAAGTACTGGTCTCTGCTAGCACTGGGCGCCTGCAGGTGCCTCCAAGGTTCGACCGGGCAGCAGTGGAGACGCAGCAAGTGGAAAGATCTGCCCACGAGCAAAGCAAACGGAGGCTTCACTGCTCAGGAAGCTCGGTTCCAGTTGCAGTTTATGATCCTGATGTGTGACTTGCGTGCTACATCTTAGGTTTAGACCCACGTCCCGCTCTGGGTTTAGTCAGGTTGTTTAGTTTTGTAACCAGGCCAGAAGTGCGCGTGCAGAAGTTGGGCTTCTGGCACTGGCAGCTGAAAGGGGAGTTGTGAGGTTATTCTCCCTTCTCTTGGTTTTTCTTTCTGGAAAGACGCAAGACGTAAGCAGTGGTGGGAGGAAACGGTGGGGTCCAGCTGGAGGATGGGGCCTGGGCCTCTTTGTGGGATTCTGTGCATGAGGAGACATTTGGCTGTCCTGGCTTGGAAACAGGATAGCCGGCTAGCAGGCTCCTGCTGGCATTCCGGTGTTCCCTTCCAGCGGAGTTCTGGACCAGGCTACGGGATGCCCTAAGGCCCAGCCCAGCGTTCTACCACTTCATCCTGACCCATTTCCAGTGGTTCTGGAGCATAGTCAACAACACCTTCATCCGAGACACGCTCATGCGGCTGGTACTGACAGGTGAGCGTGGCGCGGCCGAGGGAGGAGAGGCCGCGGAGGAGGCGGCTTGGGCGGTTCTTCGCCACTCCCTCTCTGTCCTTCTTCCCCCTGCAGTGCGGGCCAATCTCATTCCCAGCCCACCCACCTACAATTCCAACTACGAGTACGTCAGCTGGGAGGCCTACGCCAACGTGAGCTACTTCACACGCGTCCTGCCACCGGTGCCCAGGGACTGCCCCACGCCCATGGGAACCAAAGGTATGTGCCATCTGGTGGCCGGCGGCCTTCCCGCCCACAGGGAAACCTTGGGCACGGCGTTTCCCTCTGAAAAGGGCGGCCACGCTCTCAGGCTGTTTCCCACAAAAACGGGCGCCGGGAGGGGCTCTGGATCTGTGCCAACCAGGATCTGATTTGCAGAAAGGCCTGTGACAGGTGCATGTGCTCTGGGTGCAGTCCCTGGAGGAGATGGCCCTGGGTTCTAGCTATGCCCTCTCCTGGGCCAAACGGCTGGCAAAGACCCTTGTCTGCCACCCTGCAGAGCTGCCAGCACGCGGAGTGGGTTTCCTGCCCTCCTGCTCCACTCATGGGTTTGCTGCAGGCAGCTGTCTGGCCACCGCAAGCAGAGCACAGAGGAGCTGCATCCAGGCCTGGCCCAGCACCAGAGTGCTCGCATCCGCACGATCTTTTCACCAGTCCATTCAGGCAACCAATTTAACGGCGTCTCCACAGTACCCGAGGTTTATTCCGCATAATTCGAGCTTGCCTCTGTGGTTAGAAGGGCCACTGCGGGCGCTTTACTGGTCCTGGAGTCCTGCAAACCAGTGCAACAAAAGCCAGTTCACCTGCGGCACCTGCTGCCAGTCAGCGAAGGGGGGTTTCTCCACTGAGTACGATCTTGCAGTCTCCACCTGAAGGCGCTGCCTTTGTCCTGTCGTTTTGTGCTCCCTCGCAGGGCCGCTGCAGCTCCCGGACGCCCAGCAGGTGGCTGAGGAGTTTCTCCTGCGCAGGACGTTCCGGCCCGATCCCCAAGGAACCAACCTGATGTTTGCCTTTTTTGCCCAGCACTTCACACACCAGTTCTTCAAGACCTCGGGCAAGATGGGGCACGGTTACACCAGAGCTCTGGGCCACGGGGTGAGGAATGCAGACGGGACGCACAGCACCTCAGAGTCTCCGCATGTTAAATTCGGGAACTCTTGAAACTTATCCATGCTCAGAGCAACCATCACAGTCAAACTCGCCCGGTGCTGCCTTTGGTCAATGGATGAGTTGGCTGCCTGTAGAACCACGAAGTCTGGTGTCCCACCTCCGTTGGGGGGGGGGGGTCTCCTGTCAGTGGCTCCTCCTACGCAGATCTGAACCCAGGCTCCTTTGGAGGCAGGCAGGGAGGGGACATAAGGAAGTGCTGGTCCTTTCCCGCAGGTGGATCTCGGGCACATTTATGGAGACAATTTGGAGCGACAACACAAGCTGCGGCTCTTCCGGGATGGGAAGCTGAAGTATCAGGTACAACGCTGGCAAAAGGTTCGCCCTGCCTGGGACGGAGGGAGTGGATGGGCAAGTCCAGCGAGGAGAACAGCACGGTGGGAGCGGGAGTTCAGGGTGCAAAGGCCATGCAGGATCGAAAAGTCTTTCACGTGGGGCTGGAGAGGTGTCTGAGGGAGCACCGGGAGTGCAGAATCCCTTTCGACCCAAGAGCTGAATCCTCTGCCCCCGAAGCTCCCGGGGGGCCCTTGCCATGGAGGGGGCATCCAGAGCCAACAGAGTAAAAACGCCCTGCGCTCAGCTGGAGCTGCTTCCTGCCGTTAATCGGACGTTTTCCGACCTTTTTGCGTAGGGAAAACTGGGCAAAGGCCAGAAATCCACCCCAGGATTGCTGGTTTGGGGGGACCAGGTGGGGACCCTCAGGAGGTCTGCATGGGGCTCTCGCAGGGATTTGTCCTCTGGCCTTGGCTGGGAGTCATGCCCCCGAGTCTTAGGGCGAGAGTTTTGCAAGCAAGCAGAGGAGTCGGCAGCTGCCCCCCCTTGGATGCCCTCAGGCGAGGAGGAGTGCAATTCCCATCTTCCCAGCCAGCATGGGAACTGCAGTCCAAAGCGCCTGGTTGGGGCGGGCCGAGTGGGACAGGCCACGCCCCGATATTCTGGGGCCCTGTCAACTGAGCCGGCGGGCAGCCACAGGGTGTCCTGGGCCGGCCAGCCTCTCACCCCCGCGCACCGTGTGTCCCCAGATGGTGAGGGGGGAGATGTACCCCCCGACAGTCCTGCAGGCGCCCGTGCACATGATCTACCCCAAGCACATCCCGCCTGAGCAGCAGCTGGCCGTGGGCCAAGAGGTCTTTGGGCTCCTGCCGGGGCTCATGATGTACGCGACCATCTGGCTGCGGGAGCACAATCGCGTCTGCGACCTGCTGAAGAAAGAGCACCCCACCTGGGACGACGAGCAGCTCTTCCAGACCACCCGGCTGATCCTGATCGGTGTGTGGGGCGTGCAGGCATTGGGGGGGCACTCCTGCGCAGGAGGGCTCCCTCCAGGGGCCTGGCCAGGCACGGGAGGCGCCAGACAAGATGCCCCGTGCATGAGCGTGCGGCCTTCCCGCACGACCGTCGGGCTTTGCGGGCTGCGATGATTTCAAGCCGGGTGCATGTTTTAGCGAATCGTTGATTTGATTTGAGGTAATTTAGATCAGAAATGGATCTGCTGCTTTTGCCTCCTAGGAATTTAAACGAATCCTAGCAATTATTTCCAGGTTTGCAGGTGGAAGTATAAATTTGGAGATGCAGAGAAGCACATGCAGGTTTGCAGATCTGTGTCCTCGGGGCCTGGCCTCCCAATCGGTCCGTGCCCAGGAATGGCAGAAAGCGTCTTCTGGAAAAGGGGCTCCTGTTGAGGGTCGAGAGCTGGGTTCGAAGGAGCGTGGGGCGCTGGTGTGCGGCTCTCTCCTCAGCCTGGTGCTCAGCCCTTTGGGCCCGTGGTGGGGGCGCCTCAAACTGCCTGCAGTGCTGCAGCGCCCCATGGCTGACCACCGGATCGTAGCACAGACATCTGTGGGCTGCCTTCCCTGGATCTGTGGGGCTGAGCTGGGGGTGCGGGAGTCATCGCACCCACGCCTGCCTCCCTCCCTCTGCCCCCTCAGGTGAAACAATCAAAATAGTCATTGAGGACTATGTCCAGCACCTGAGCGGCTACCACTTGCAGCTGAAGTTTGATCCGGAGCTTCTCTTTGGGTCCCCGTTCCAGTACCGGAACCGCATTGCCGTGGAGTTCAACCAGCTCTACCACTGGCACCCGCTCATGCCAGATTCCTTCAACATCCAGAACCAAGCGTATGACTATGACCACTTCATCTACAACACCACAATGCTGACGGACTACGGCGTGGAGGCCCTCGTCGAGGCCTTCTCCAGACAACGGGCAGGGCAGGTGAGCACTCCGGAACATCCGCCTGCGAGTGCCCACTGTGCAGCGAAGAGCGGGCCGGTTCTAGGCGCAACCATACGGGCGGGTAAAGTTCCTCCCATTTCATTGCTTCCCACCCAGTGCGGCTGAATTAGTCATCGACTGCCTTTTCAGTGGGAGGGAAACAGAGGAAAGTAAAACTGTCAGACTGTTAAAGCGCCTGTCCCCCTCACTCACAAGAGGAAACGGACAGTGCTGAATTAACGGACAGTGTCACGCAGAACAGGGAAAAATAAAGTAGACAGAGAACCTGCAGGAAGGAATGGAATTAGGAGAGCTCTGCAGAACAGGGACTTTCTGCAAGGGGTTGGGGAGGGTTGCTAGATATTGCATCCCTTTCCCAACTGAAAAGCAGCAGCTTGAGGACGAGGATTTAGCATTGGCCATACGAAACCCTGCAAGCGGCCCGCTGAAGCTCTCCCTCCTTCCCCCGTTCTATTGCTTTTGGTTTATTTCCTCCGTGGGAGCCAGCCTGCCGTTTCCCTTCTCGCTGCGTGAAAGAAGGAAGCGGAGGACAACCTCTCTCCTCCTGCTTTCAGATTGGCGGCGTGCCCAACATCCACAGCAGGCTCCTGAAAGTGGCCATAGGGCTCATTGAGGAATCGCGGGTCTTGCGCCTGCAGTCCTTCAACGAATACCGGAAGAGGTTTGGCATGAGGCCGTACGGGTCCTTCCAGGAGCTCACAGGTAGGTAGGGTGGCAACCTCTGCCCAGCCAGGGGATGCCCAGAAAAGGCACCTGGACTGGGCTGGCTCCTTGAAGAAGCCGGCGATTTCAGGCTCTCCCGTGACCAGAGTAGGCAAGGCCAGCGTGGCAGCGCAACCTGGGCTTCGGATGTCCTGCGCGGTGCAGGAGGAGACTGCCGGAGAGGGGGCTTTCCTCCCCCGCTTGGGACGAGAATAATAATGCCAGGGGACAGCCCTTTGTCCCGAGGCAGCACCGAAGCCCCGCTGTCCCACGTGGCCTCCTAGGTCGTTTTAATGCTGTGCCGGGAGCGGCTGCCGAGTCAGAGCGAGGGAGGCCGAGGCGGAAGCACGCGATCGCCTGCCCGCCTGACCACCGCTCTCCTTGTGACTGGCGCAGGGGAGGAGGCGCAGGCGGCCAGGCTGGAGCAGCTGTACGGAGACATTGACGCCCTGGAGTTCTACCCCGGCCTGCTGGTGGAGAAGAGTCACCCCAACTCCATCTTTGGGGAGAGCATGGTGGAGATCGGAGCCCCCTTCTCCCTGAAGGGCCTCCTGGGGAACCCCATCTGCTCTCCAGAATACTGGAAGCCGAGCACCTTTGGGGGTGCTGCTGGCTTCAAGCTGGTGAACACAGCCTCGCTCCAGAAACTCGTGTGCCTCAACGTCAAGAGGTGCCCCTACGTGGCTTTCCGGGTGCCCCACGATGACCGGGAGGAAGTGCCGACGGTACCGAGCGGCGATGGCGGCTCCAAGGAGAAAGGGCCGTCAACCGAACTCTAGCGCTGCCGGGGGTTGGGGTTCCTCCGACCCCTGGCAAGTCTGCCATTTGGGGGGGGTTGGGGGTTTGCATAGACGAGGGCGGGCGGGCAAAGAAAGGAATCTCTCCCCTTCAGCACACGTACACCTGCACACACGCCCTCCCCGCATACCTGAGTGGCCCTTGGAGTTGCACCTGCAGAGGAAAGCAGATGCTCTTCCCGGGAGAAATTAAAGGCTTCGGCGGCCAGGCTGCAGTTCAGAGAAGCCTGGGGCCGCATTCTGGCAGTAGGCAGGGCTGCAGGCCAGGGGCAGGAGTGCCACACGGGAAGTTCTGGGCTAGGTGGGGTCCGAGCGCCTGCTGTCAGTCTTGGGGGGGCCTCACTATTTCAGCCTTTGGGGACGGGGGCAAATGAGAGAACGCCCAAATGTCTGGCGGCTCCAGGGAAAGGGGCTTTGGGATCGCTGGCAGGGGTGCGACTGTGGAAAACCCTGCCGGGCTGGAGGGGGGCCCCAGGTCCAACGCCCCTGCCGCATGCAAAGGGTCCTAGAGGACCTGTGGATTCTCCCTGGAAGCTGTTCGCAAGCACGGCCCCCCGAGTGCGGCCAGACACAGGAAGAGACCACCAACCCAGCGCCGAGCCTGCACGGTGCATGTGGCAAACCCAGGGGGAGAGAGAGCCCAAGAGGAGGGGGCCGATACCGAACGGTGGGCTGGCAAGCGGGGCTTTTTTGCTAATAAAGAGGGCCTTTTTTTGCTAATCCGCCTGGCACGAGCATCTTTCTTCAGAGGGGTGGGGCATGCCTGGCAAGCCCTGGCGGATGTGGGAACCCGGGGGAGCGAGGCCAGGACGGCCACTGCGGGGCTTCGGCGCTGGAGGCCCCGGTCGGTCGTCGCTCCCTCGGCCACGAGCTCGGAGGAGCTCTGAGCTGCCGGGCCTTCGTGCAGCTTCTGTCGGCCCCGACAGCAACGTGGAGTTGCCCCGCCTGATCACACACAGTTCCCGACCGTGTGTCCAGAGATGCCAGGCTTGGGGGGGAATGCTTTTACTGGGCGGCGGCGCTGAAGGCAGGGAAGGAGACAGAGGACTTTGGAGAGTGGTGGGACCGGCCCATGGCTGTCAGCCACCATGTCGTCGGGGGCATGGTGCCCCACAGGCCTTCCTCCTTGAGCTTGTCTAACGACAAGTGGTACATTGTTATTATTAATTATTAACATTTTTATACTGCCCATAGCCAATGCTCTCTGGAGCGTTTACAACGATAATCACAGGATCATACGCTCCAGTCGCCTGTCCCAGTTCTGACCGGGCCTGGCCCTGCTACACGCATCGAAGCAGCAAATGTCAATTAATGCATCTCTGCTAACGGGCCCTGCGTGGTGCCGATTGAGCTTAGCTCAGCCAGCTTGGCCCCGCTGCCTCTGCGCCTGCATCGAAGACCTCGGGGCTGCCAGCGTCCACGGTGGACGCAGCGCAGCAGGTCCGGATTATGCTGGAGCACCTGCCCCACCCTGCCCGCTCTGGCTGGCAGCGGCACGATGAGGAAGAAATGGGCGGGTGCGATTCTGGAGACTCTCCGAGGGGACCTGCAGTTCAAGGGTGGGGGTTCTGTGGGTCAGTGCTGCACTGGGCGAAGCAGTTGTTCTGCCCACTGGTGTCACTGGGAGCCCCCCAGCTGATGGCTTGAGCGAGCGAGCGAGCGAGCGAGAGCGCCGATCTTCCCCCTTGCTCTGTGTGACTTCACAACCCTCCCAGGCACCAGCCGAGCATTGGCCCCTCTCGTTCAACAGGAGGTGCAGAGTATCTTTGAGCCGAGTGCCATTTCAAGGAGCACAATCTGGGGGGGGGGGGGGGTCAAGGTGAAAGGGACAGAGCCGAAGCATTCAAAAGACCAGCATACTTTGGTGCAAGGTTTCTACTGCCATGAACTGTGCTTGAGGAAGAGGCGAGAACTCCTTCTGGGATTAGGGGAAAGCAGGGGCGGTAGCAGGGCTGAAGCCCCCCGTCTCTGGGGGGCTCTGCCCGATGGGATGGGTGCAGGCTGAAATGAAGGTCCCGAGGCCCGGAGGATCCTTGTGGCGCCTGGATTTGGCCTGGCCTTCCACCTTTGGTCCACCCTGCCCTCTTCTCCTCCGGCCACACGCCCCTTCCGCTGGAATCCGGGACGAGCCCCGCTGGGCGCGACGCGGCTGCAACCTCCTCCTCGAGCTCGGCCAGAGCTGCATCTCGCTGGCATCTGTCTCCTTGCGCAGAAAGAAGGAAGGGCTGCAGATTTATGCGGCAGGGGGGAGAGAGGAATGTGGGGCATGCAGGGAGAGGAAGAAGCTTCTCTGGCAGCTTAACGAAAACTCTCAAGGAGGGCTTCGGGGACCATCTTTTTGCTGCAACTCTAGATCGCAGTCTTGGCACAGCCTTGGGTTTCAAGACGCTTGGAAAATCCCGGTGCCTCGTAAAATCTCCAGCAAATATTTCAGTGCTTCCTAATCAAGGCTTCATCTCTTGGCTTCAGACGGGGCCCATTTGTTTTATCGCAGCCGGCGCTAGCATTTTGGACTGAACTGCATCGGGATTTTGAGTGCCTCTTTCCAAGGCATTTATGCCCGTGAGACTGCTCATTGATTTTATTTTTAATGACATGTGTGCATGCTTGTGAAAGTGTTTGTTTAACTTTGTTCTGATCTGCATCAGCTGGATCCCCCCTGCCCCCATTTTTTGCAAACTTTTTTACAAAATGTCGAAGGGAAATAAGCTCTCTTGGCAACCTTCTGGGGACAGGACCACCAAAATCGCAGGGCCTGGATAAACGTCGGCATGCCAAACTCGCAGGAGGTTCTTCTCATACGTTTGGCATCTGCCCCTTCGTTCCTCCCTGCTCATCTTGGGGAGGGGCAAAATAGAAGAGAAGCCCCATCCTGGTTTTCAACCCCCCCTTCTCTCTCCCTTGCAAGTTCCTTTGCAGCTGTCAAGCCCTCTTCTGCTTTGGGCAGGGCCTCCTCCTGGGATGGCACCCTGCTGAACGGCTGCCCGTTCGATGGGATTCGTCTCCTCTCTGCAGGCATTATCGGCACGGGCAGAGCTCAGCCAGGCCAGGCGGCGAACGCCTCTTGGGTGCTTCCATCCGGTCCTGGAGAATGCCTGGCCCACCCTGCCTTGCACAAGCCGGGGGAGGCTAAGCTCACTTGCGCTGCCTTTTCAACAAATCAACCATTTGGGGTGCAATTCTAGGCATGCTTAGACAGAAAAAGAGCCTGTATTTTTTTGTCCAAACGTACCCAGGATTGCAGCGTGATCCATGCACTTCTTGGAGAGGTGGGACGCCAGCCAGCACACCAGAAAATTGGGATGGGAAGAGAGGCATTCTGTATTTTATTGCATTCATTTAAGAAAACCAGGAGTCTTTCACAGATAGCAAAAGAGTTCAGCAAAACAGTAAAATCTACACAGGAAGAATGGAGCGTGACACAGGAAGGCGCGCCCCTTTGGGCACAGACAGCTCACTCTGAGGAGGATGTTTCTACCCAGCACGTGGGGGGGCGAGACGTGGCCAGAACCCAGCCTGAGCTGGAGGGGACTGGGGCGGCGCTGTGGTCTGCAGCACTCGCTTCAGCAGCTACCCAGGGTTCTTCTTAAACGACTGACGGGCCCCCCAAAAGGGGCCCTCCGCACACACGTTCCCGCCCCTAGCGGCTGGCGCCACCCCACTTCCGACTGGGACAAGGTGCCGGGGCACCGGTGCTCTCATAGGGCGATGGGGCCGCGGGGGCGGAGGGCTCACGTACAACAGGGAAGGGTGTTCTGGGCAGGCAGCGGAGCTCCGCCGGGCAGGCTGAAGGGACGGGGTGCGGCTACCTGCTCAGGAGCGGGGAGGTGTGTGGTCCAGCAAGCGCCCTCTATGACTAGCAGGGAACGGGACGGCTGCTCCCGACCCCCCCCGCCACCTCAGTCGATCTCCAGGTCGCTGTCCTCGCTGCAGCACGGGGCGGCACCGCGCAGCGAGGTGAGCAGCAGCAGGTCCTTCTCCGGCAGGAGACCGCACTCCTGCAGGAAAGCCTCCAGGTCCACGGCAAAGAAGTCCTCGCCCAGCTGGTCGGTGATGCGGATGAAGTTCCCGACCAGCTCCCCGCCCTTGTAGACCAGGAGGGCCGGCAGGGCGTGGCCGGTGAAGCGGGCGCTGGTGCCGATCAGGGAGCTCCGCACCCGGCAGAACTTGACGGCCGGGTACTCCGCGGCCAGGCACACCAAGCAGCCGTCCAGCGCCTCGGCCCCGGGCACCTCGTCCTCGTAGATGTGGATCACCACCAGCGTGCTCCTGTGGCCCTGGTCCACGGTGTCCAGGAAGGCCTCCCCGCTGCGGATCTCGAAGACCTGCCTGAACTGCGGCCCGCCGTGCAGCCGCCGCCGCATCTCCTCCATGCGCTGCTTGCGGTACTGCTGCAGGAACGCCTCGTCGTCCGCGCTCTCGTGCAGCAGGCTGTACTCCTGCGCCGTCAGCTGAGCGAGGGCACAAACAGACCCCTTGTAACGGGCAGGCACGGGCGGGTGGCGGCGGGGGGGGGGGGCTTCGAAGGGACGCTTCCAAGCAACGGAGTGCTTGGCCCGGCGCGGAGCACATGCCCTGGGAGGCCAAGGAAACGGCTGACGGAATAGTTCCAGGGTGACGCACGCAGCTCCTGGCCGGCTTCCTCTTTTCCACATCTTTTCATTTAGATGGCTCTTTCCTCCTTATTGTAAATGTTTACATGTGTTTTTTAGACCAGATTTTTAAACATGTGTAGGTTTTAATGATGATGTTTCCTATTGTTTTGTTTGCTGTGTTCTTACGGGCGTGTGACCACGCTTTTTGCAGGAGAGACAAAAAGGCGAGCCTGTAACGGCGGACGGGGGCAGGAGCACACTGCTCTGCTGCGATCTGCGGGGGTGGGGGGTGCCTGGGCCTGGCGGGGCGCACTGGCTTGTTGTCGTGGCTCACGGGCAAAGCGGCTGTCTCTCCCCAAGGCCCGGCCAAGGGTGAGGACGGTCTTTTGGCTCCCAGGAGGTGATGTACCACCTCCAGGCCTGCCAACTAAAGGCTGGGTATTGTTCAGTGACACGCCCCAGCAGCCTCCTTAACTAGGCACTGATCCAAGTTAGTGTCTTGGTGATGCACGAACAAGTTTTACATTGGGCTAGGATCAAAACGGGTTCAGGTTTTGCAACAGCCAAAACACACTTGGCCAAACAGCTGAACCTCCTGTGACGATCAAAATGGTTTACTGCTCTGCAACGCGCCAACCACCAGACAGGTGTCAAAGGTTTCAGCAGCTAAACACTCAGAGCGCGCAGCATGGAGAGCACGCAAGGGCACCCCCAAGCAGCTGGAATGCGCGGGCGGCAGCAGGGGTTACCTCGAAACGTCCGAGCAAGGGCGCAGAGAAACTGGCGAACTTGTCTAGGGTACCTGATTCAAAGCACGGTGCAAGCGTACAGCGTTCTACATTACAGTATAATTGCAGCACGGGAGTATACTGATGAATTGTGCAGGCACGAATAACAGCAATACATCATGAAGAAATAAGAATGACCCTCTCTGCCCGGCCTGCCAAGATCTCCTCCCTGCTTGAAGGCGCGGAGGCTCGTGACGACCTCAGGCACGAAGGCCCCACCGTGCGGGTAACGAGCACGGCCAAGGGAGAGAATGCCGCAGCCGTGCGTTCGTGTGTGTGCATGTGTGCTCTCCTTTGATCCCTCTCTCTGGGGACCCTCCCCAGGCGGGATGATCTGCTGTTCCATTAGCATAAACACGGCAGCTCAGGTTTGCTCATGGCAGGTGAGGCCAACATTTTAAGCATCTGGGACCCAGCCAGAAGGCGAACAATGCACGGGGGCGCTGCGGGGAGCCTGCCCAGCCACCTGCCCGGCCCTCCCTGTCCGCGGCTCCACAAGGGGAGGCAGGGAACTCCCACAGAAGGCCCGGCACTCCCAGCACCTGGAATGGCTCTCGGGGGCCTTTTGCGGGACCGAGGGTGATGGCCAAGAATTGCTACCGGACCGCCATGCTGATGGGCCGAGCGCCAAAGCACTCGGACGCCTGGCCCAGATCGGCGTTGGTGCACTCCCTGGTGGGCTGTGGAGCAAGGCTGCTGCTGCAGGGGCAGCGCTGGGAGGCACCCCGGAACCGGCCCCCTCGAGGGAGCTGCAGCCTGGAGCTCAAGGGCGGAGTGGGGCTGCCGAGGACGGGGCGCCATGAAGGGCCTCATGCGCGTCTGAGACGCCTGGACTGCGCTCAGCGGCGAACAGTGCAGTCCAGAGGCTCCCTGTCTGGGAGCAACGGGACCTCAGCTCAACACACCTGGGGGGCCCCGAGCTGGAGGTGGCTGGTGCAGCCTCGGGGCTTCCTTCCCTGCCAGGCAGCGCCCCAGAGATGCCGACAACATGGCCAGTGGCCCCGGGGGTGGGCGGACCGCCTCCCGCGGCTCTCACCTTGCCGTTGAGCTTTTCCTGAAGCTCCTTCTGCTGCTGCTTGTCCTGCTCCTCATCCAGGTGTGACCTGCAGGTCATGGAGAGCTTCTTGATGAGCCGCTCCATCTCCCGGCGCTGCTCCTCCCGCTGCTCTGTCTCCAGCTGCTTGAATCTCCTCCAGTCGTTGATCACGCCTTTGGGGCCTGGTGAGGAAGATGTGAGCAGTGACACCGAGGGGGTGTGTGGGGGGGGGGGGGGGAGTGAGGGTCAGAGGAAAAGACTGTCACCTGGGGGAGGAGCAGAGACGAGCGGGACACGCACCTGTGTTCACAGCACTGCCGTCGCTGCTCAGCGCCACCTCCCTCGGCACGGCAGCGTCGGCCTCTGCGCGAGGCCCCTCGTCCCCCTCCTCTTTCTCGCTGTCCTCATCCTCGCTGCTGCTGTAATAGTACTGCAGTTTCTCTCCCAGCAGCTTGTCGTCCAGGGTTGTCATCGTGGGGGCTGCAAGAGAGCAGGGAGAAGGTCAGCTGGAGCTCAGCTCTTGCATCAAGTCCCCCCCAGGGGCTGGGACCTAGGAAGTGTTCTGCAAGGTGCTGGAGAGATGCAAACTCAACTCCTCAGCAGCACGTGCAGCAAAGAGGCCGATGGCGCACCGGCAGCGAGACGGGGGGCTCTGAAGGAGCGTGATGAACGCGACCAGCCCCCTCTTCTGGAGCTTCACACCTCCCCCTCTCCACCACCAGCTTGGTCGAGGATGCTGCTGAAAGCAGTTAGAATACTGGCGCTTCTCTGCTGAGCCAGCTGTGCTTCTGTGACTTAAGTAGTGGCCATAATCCACAACGTCAGCCTCTGAGCGACCTTTACATCCAGCCACTGTGTTGTGCTGGCATGGCCCTCACCCTTCAGCTCCACCCACAAACTGAGTCATACCAAACTCCTCTGCTTCCCTCTGTCTACAGACCTCGTAAAGACTTAGCGCCCATTACCCACGCTCCCTTCCAAATAAGCAAGTCCACCGCACAGGACAGATATTGTGAAGAATATCGATACAGAGGCAGCCACTATGCTGCAGCGTTTCCGCCAATCCTTTAATCCATCCCTTTATCCAAAATTAGACCTTGCCTCCTGGCCAATGGATTTGCGGAAAGCAGCTCGGTAAGCCGCCTGTAAATGGACCAAAGATAAACAGCAACAGATTCTCCCGCACAATGGAGAGGTAAGCGAAAGAGTCCCAAATCCAGAGAAAGCACTTGGTGAAAGCGCATGCATCTCCAGCGGTAGGGGAGATAACATGGATAAGAGTCTGCCGTTAAAGGGAAAAGCTTTTAAAACATTGCCCGGTGTTTGTTGATCTTACTTCTTGGACTAAGCAGAATAGCACCTTGTTATTCCGTAGGCCTAGGAGGGTATTTACCCAAAAAAGTGAATATTTTTCTGTACTGTTATCTCTGTAATTTTTCACTCCTGACTCCCAGGGGGTGTATGATTGCATCTGGCTGCATTCTTTCTTCTCAACCTTAAATGATCCTCGCCTTCCGCCATGCTCGACACATCCTGCTCTGCCCCTGTAACCCCTCAGGAAAAAAACATGCCAAAATTTGGAAAAAAGCCCTTGCACCCAATGGGCCCCGCTGTAGCCCAAGCAAAACCCTTAAAAAGTTCAAAGTTTCTGAGCATAGTGCAGATGAGAGCAGATTATGAATCTATAAGCTTGTACTGGGGATTATTATGCTAATGGCTGTACATTTAAAAAAAATCAGGACAGATGCACATTATTAAGATGCCTTTGCACTGCTGCTCTTTAATCCCCATCTCAGCTTGTCACTGCTGGCGCGGTGCCCAGTTTTATGGCCTGATTAATCTGGATTTCACCACGTGGGCCCCAACATTTCTTCCTGCCATATGTATTGGCTTGACTCGGGGTGATTCGAGCTGTTCTATTGTTCTGCATTTTATGTACTGCAATACTTTATGTGGTATTGTATTGCACTTGCAATGTTTATATTGCTCTGAATCACTCAGAGAGCTCTGGCTATTGAGTGATACAGAAATGAAATAACTAACAGCAAATCTGGGTGAGTGAAGTGCAGCTGGCCTTCTTTCTCCTCGGGGCTGCCAACCTTTTCCCCCTTTAAACTAGATTGACAGTTCAGATGCCCAGCTCACTGAAGAGCATCCCATAGAAAATCTGAGCCTTCCTCAGCGGTTAAAGGCAGAGCAGCAGAGTCTTTGCTTGGGAATTTCAGGAAGCCGATTGCTGCGTCCCCCCCACACTCCAAAAACTGCCTCCTCCCCGGACAAACAAAAATCCTATGCCATGGGCAGGCGGAGGGGCCTGCTCATGAGGGATGCCCCTGAAGGCCGCCCTATATGCAGCCGCACCCCACCAGTGCTCCCCGTGAGGCGGGAATGCATCCCCCGAGACTCCACGAAACCAGGCTTTGGGAGAGCCCTGCCCCGACGCAGAATAAGGGGCTTCCAATGGGTTGCGGCCCCCCTCGCCTTTCAGTATTGTGCTTTTGATTCATCTGCCTCAGTCTTACCCTTTAGTTGAGATTCTGCGACAGCAGGCCGGAAACAGAAGAAAGAAATACATTTTTTCCTGAGGGCAAGGGGGGCAGTTCCCAGCTCCTCAAACCCCCCCCCCACGCGATGAATGCACTTCCTTAAGAGGGAGCCCAAGGAGGCGGAAGAACCGAAGCGCTCGCCGACGACGGGCCAGCCCCCCACAGGGCGCACGGGGTGAGGCGCGGGACTGCAGGCCCCATCAGCCCCGGCACTCCCAGAGGGCGCCGGTTGGAGAAGTACGGCCTGGCTAGAGGACGGGCTCCCCGCACAGAGCGCCCCCCCCCCGCGCACGGCCCCTCCCCCCGGCGCAGGCCCCGCCCCCGCCCGGGCCTAGCCCTTCCCTCAGGGCGAGCCGGGCCTTCCCTCGTCGCTCACCCGGGCGCCGCCCCTCCGCGCAGGACGCAGGTGGCCCCCCCGGCCGGCCGAGCCCCCCGCCCCGGGACCCCCCCGGGCCCCCCCGCGCGCGCGCGCCTGCCGCCCCGGGCTCCCACCTCAGGCCTCTCGCGCTGCCCGCAAGCGGAACGCTGCCGCCGAAGCGCGCGGGATGCCGGGAGAACGAGGAAGCGCCGCAGCGGGGGCGGAGCCGCGCAGGGCGTAGGGGTGCGCGGCCGGTCGGGCAGGCAGAGCCGCGGACACTTCCGGCTCCGATGCGAGCGGCGCGGAGCGCGGGGCGGCAGGCGTGAGGCGAGGGCATCCACCATCAACGCGCCGCACCGGTCCGCACGGGTCACCCGCCCCACAGCGCGATGCGGGTGAGAAAGCAGGACTGCACGGAGGATCCTTACCCATCCCTACCCGTTGCAGACGCGCGCGCACGGGTCTTTACCTTGCGCTTCGTGCCTGACGAGAACGGCAGCGGGCAGGCCTTTGCTAATTCTTAACTGGGTCTCCAGACGTGCACGATTACAAAAGGGCAGAAGCCGTCGCAAAGCGGCGCCCTCGCAGTTCCCCGCTGGGTGCCCCGCATGTTCGCTTGGGAATCCGAAGCGTTCTGCCTCGGTGACAGCGCGTCTGCCACGCCGCGAGCGATGCCGGGTGCGCATGCGCGTCGCCCTCCCCGGGCGGCGGAGAAAAGGTAAAAGCGGTTTCCATGGAGACGGGGCGCAGGTCCGGCCTGCGCTTCCCAGGAGCCGAACCCAAACGCGGGCAGGATGTTTCATTCCCGGCCCTCGCACCCAGTTTTTCTTTGACGAAACCGAATGAAAGCGTGTGAACATTTATTTTATTGCTCCTATTCATACAAAGCTGATAACAGAATGTGTAATATAAATAAATTTGCATAAGAAGTGAAAACTGCTGTGAGGATAAAGAACACGAATAATTTCTGCATTTAACTCTCTGACTTCAAGCGGGGCAGCGGATGAAATGGACTATAAGTTAGTCCATCAAAGTTTACGCCATAAAAAAGTTCCATAATTGTTCTATTTCCACTAATTATACTGGTTGTTGTTACATTGTTCTAGTGCAACCAATTATACGCTATAAATATTAGGAGATGCAAAGACCTAAGGAAGTAAGTCTGCTTTCCCAACCTATGGAAAAGGGAGCAAACTGAAGCATCCCTAAGGGGGGAAGCATCTTAGATCTTGCACCCATCCTGCCTGGCTTTTCTTCTGTGTTGGCCTCCCATCTGCAGGTCTACCAGCAGCACCGGGAGATTGCAAAAGGCCCCTGCAAAAGACAGTAGCTCCTTACAGACTTTTTAAAATTTCTCAAGCTTGTTTTCAATGTGCAAGCATACTCCTGGTTACTTTCGTAACTGGTTACTGGTTCTCCCGGTTACTGGGAGTCCCAGTAAGTGTAGAAAGCACTCGCTTAACTGCAGGGGAGCATGGGGTGGGTCTTCCATGCTCCTAAAGGCCAGGTCGGCTTGGGATAGTTTTCCCAGGCAAAGAGGCACCCAGTCTGTGCCTGCTCTGTGGAGTCTCTTCAGTAGAGACTTGTCCTCGGTTTGGTGATGGAGAAGCAGCCACCAGGTGCTTCCTCACCTCCCGAGTTGTCAGAGGAGAGCACGATCCGGGCAGAACCATTCCAGGGCTGGCCCTGGCGCTCAGAGAGCCTGCCTCCAGAGAGGGACGAGGCTTAAGAGGTTTGCGAATGTCAAAAGAGGCCACTCCAGCCTTCCTTTGGGTCAAACATGGCCACTTCTCCATCCCACCAGATTCCTTCTGATGCAAAGGACCAATGGCACTTCCTCTGTCCAACCTCCATTTCCCAATGAGAGATCCCCCTCTTTATCAACATGGGGTACTTGGGCTTCCCAGCCACTCTCTCAAAACCCAGTTTTTAAACCTCTGTAGGCCAAAGTCACCATCTGAAAGGGTTAAGTCAGGCAAGCAAAAGACACTGGTATTTCCTTATATTGTCTGGAGCTGCTGAAAGGAACAATCTTCCGCATATTTTAGAAAGAGTACTTTTAGTAAGAAAAAACTTACTGCCAGGGTCATGCTGGGAATTGTAAGATGTTTTTGTGTCTGAACATGCATAGGGTTGAGTCACAAATTAGCCAACAACTATACAAGAACAAATTCTTTCCCCTCCCTATTACCCCCCTCCTCCTGTAAGAGATGAGCGCAGAGAAAGTGTAGGTGGACTTTTTTTATTTTACGGCATGCAAATACATGTCAAGTACTGCAAACTTTTTTTCCTATTAATTCTCTCTCAAACACTGAAAAACCACAATTTGCTAAAATCTGTGACCAGCCCGAGAGCTAATTTATCTTCTCACTTCAGTGCTACAGCAAACACACACACAGAATTCACTCGGCTATTCAGGCTAAATCACAAAGCCAACCCCATCGCTCAAACCGCCCCACCCTGAAAATACAGACCGTACGGTCTAAGCATTCCCATGTAAATCCTATTCCTATAACACAAAAGGGAAAAACAATACAATCTGGAAATTTTAAACAGAACTAAATGGAATAGAATTCATTCCCCACCCTTGAAATATATCCCCCATTTCATTTTACAGATTTTTTAAATTATATTTTTAAATAGAAGTTGAGAATGCACCATTAAAAATGAGCATTAAATCCATCGTAGCGATGGTGTCTGCTTTATTATACATGATGGGTGTACACCATCTTTTATCTCATTTACATTTCAATCGAACAATAGATTTGCAAAGAAAATGTCTAATACAGACGTAAAAATATTCACACTTGAGCTTCACAATCGGTTGTACAATTGACAAACAGGCCTCTTTTCCCAAACTTTCTAGGCTAAGCAAGTTTATAAAATGTTAATCAACTCAACAAGAAAAAAAGTGTTGTTTTTTTTCTTTTAAACTTCCAGGGAAAAGAATATGCAGTATACAGTATAAATGCCGATAGCAGATCCTGCAAGCTAAACCACAATACTCCGGAGTGGCTGTACAGTGGGTGTGCAGTACAAAGAAAAGCCACGCATGTTGTATCACAACTACAGTATAATGTATTTGTCTGCCCAAAAGAGGAAGATGCATGCATTCCCATGCCTTGGACTATATAACGGAGGATTACTCTTGGGGGGTATGTGGGTAGGATCTGTGCAAATGTACTTTGCCCTGTTCTCTGGCACGTATAAATGCAGCCAGAATTCATTTGATTTCAAACGGTCAAGTATATAAAGTGTCCATTAAAAGCTTCACAAAAGCATGTGTGTGCGGATAGGTTTTTTGCTTTTTCAGCGGGGGTGGGGAGATGGTTCAGCAACGCTGCCGCACCCCACTAAGCCATCCCTTTATCCTACGGAGCAGCGAATCGTTAATGTACCACTTTGCCAGCAAAGCTCTAGACTGTGACTCTCCGCAGCGTCACGCCACGCCACGCCACGCCACGCCACGCCCCGTCCATCTCCTTTCCTGTTCCTTCCTTGCAAGTCCAGTCCCTAACTATAGAGGACCTTCCAAAATCCAAGGGGCTTGAAAATAAATGTATACCATGGGAGTGGATTCTCCAAAACACCTTCACTGGGGCAGGGGTGTGCAGTCAAACCCCACCTCTGCAAAGTAGGACTGGCTAAAAAAAGGAACAGGAAAAGGTAGACACATACAACAACAGACCACAAAACCGCCAGCAGCGTCCTCTCTCCCCTGGCCCGTGAAAAATCCAGCCAGCACTGCCACTCTGAACACTGCCAAGCTGTGTGGAGTTCGTCTGTCTGCCACTAAGGTCCTTATCTTTATCAGGCCTGAGCCGGCCTGTGTCAGATTAAAAGCGCGCCACTAATGCTTTGGCTCCGGCCGCTCTGCGTGTGCCGAGCGACTCGGCACTGAGCCGCAGCAGCCTGCCGCCTTTCCTCCGGAGCGATGCATCTGGCAGGAAAAGGGCCACGGCGGCTGCAGCGCGGCTGACGGCACACGAATGTGCTCCTCACACCGATGGAGAATGCAGCCAGCCAGCCAGCCAGCCAGCCAGCCAGCCAGCCAGCCAGCGGGATGCACCACTCACTGGGCAACCACGTCCACGGGGCTCCAGTGAGGCCGTGAAATCCCACCCCGACAACCCTTTCCTTCCAGGTTCGGAGGGATGGCCCCGCATCACACGCCACAAGAGGGATCCTTGCTTCCTACCACGAGCCAGCATCTGCCGTGCTACAAACAGCATCAGGACTCAACGAAAGGCATCTGTCCCCACGCACACGATGGGCTTTCTGAGTCGAAAAGTGGCTGCGAAAGCATCGAGTCGAAAGGAAACGGGGGAAGGACAATTCCAGGAAATCCCAAATTAAACCTGTCCTGACGCTGCGAGAGAGAGCGTACTGCGGTGCGGACTCTCTCTCTCGTCTCTCTTTGGCAATGTCGCTTGCTGCAGACCAGAATTGCCTTCCTACTGGCAGAATTAATTCTCTGAAGCCAGAGCTCTCGAATGAGCCATTTCTCCGCTCCCCTACTCAACTGGTTTGAGCGTTCTCTGGCAATCTGTCACCTGCAGCACCGAGCCAGAACGATGCGATTTCGTGGCAGGATCGCAGTGCTTGGAAAGAAGGATGGCACGCGGGTTGAAAGTTCGGCTGGTTTCTTGGGTCTGCAATTCTCTGTATCGAAGGTTGTCGGAGTTCTCGTGACCTGGGTGGCCCTTTCTACAAAGCTGCCGCGCTACAGAAGCCAGTGCTACCCCTGACAAGCCAACGCGGAGGAAGACGGTTCTCGGAGAAGCTGGTAAAAGGACAACAGGTAGCGTTTTTGAACAGTGTGCCACTGAGCGAGTGGACCGACTCCTGCAAAACGATTCCAAGCCCCTTCCTCCAGCAGAGCACAACTAGGTCTTAAAAAGAAAAACTCACATATTTAAAACCATACCAAAAGTATAACACATAAGATCTGTTTAGGTGTTACATATTCTTCATCATGTTGTGCTGGTTAACAGAGGGGCTATTTCCCTGAGGGCAAAAATAAGAATCTCTCAAACCTTTATATTTTCCTATTTTTGTAACAAAATAGCAATTCGTTTTTTCTTCCTTTTAAAGAAAAATCACTTCACCTTCAACATGGAAGATCGCATTGTTTACAAATCCATGTAAAAGAGATATTGTTTTGCATATACATCTATGCCTACCTTTGAAGTTACATATAGCACAAAAGAAAAATTTTGGAAGCATTTCAAATGTAATTATATAGTTTCATATATACAGAATTGTCCAGCTAGATTGAAAGCGTAAGAGTGGACACTTAACAGTCATGAATGAACAAGTACTTTAAAAATCTGGATTTCCAGCTGCCTTGCTTGTCTTGCTGCAGAAGTAGAGGGGCAACAGGAAAAAGAAAACCTTCAGAAATTACCACAAGCCATCAAAAGAAGGGATGTGACTCCCAAATTATAAACAGGGCTTTGCACTTTAGTATTAAAACAAGTGGCCAAAATATTTTACAACAGCACTGAAATTATTATCAAAACAAGTCAGTCGTTGGATTTCTCAGTTAATATTTACAACATAATTTTTTCATGACTTCCTAAGTCAGAGAGATTTTAAAAAACTGATCCGAGTTAGATCTGCAACCCTCAGAGAAATGCCGGCCCCTGTTTTCCTGCCCCTGAAGGGAGCACAAGAGTTATATTCAAAAAAGAAAAGCAAGGAAAACGTCTAATCCCATATATAGAGCAGCAACCAGGATGTCCACAGCTCTTTTTTTTTGCCAGTAACATGATCATTATTGTGTTTTCTTTTAAAGCAGTTTGCTAGCAGGAGAAGCCCTTGCATACAGTACACCCTGGAGAAAGTGCTGCTTGTTTAAAATATTCCAGTAGCGTTTTCAGAGTAAACAACTTCACAGAAGTTAATTAACAAACATTTAAAAAAGGAGAGAAATGTAAAAAATAAAACAAAACAAAACAAAAGAAAAAGAAAACCACCTATGACAAAGGATGATCTTGCCAGGAAGAGAAAGAAAAGATGGCTAAAAGACTAGCTTACTGGGGAGGGTATTCCTATTTTAGCAGATGGTTCCCTATTGCATGTATTCTTCAAAAATCACATCTTAAGGGGGACATATTTATTCATTGTTCTATACAAGTTCAGCTAAAGCTCTATTATATGTGTTCAAGGCCTTGTCAGAATTAATTAGTAAGTAATAAACCTAAATACTAAATTCTCAATAATACTATAACCAATGCAACGTGTCTAAAGAATTGCTAATCAATTCTTATTGTTTAAAAGTACAGCAATAGCAATACTGTGATGTTAGTCAGTGCAAACACGACAGGCAAGCTACGTTTTTGCGGGGAATAATCTGCGAGGCTCCGGGTGCCAGGGCACCGGGAGATCCTGCCGAGGGACTGCACAGCTCAGCTCCCTTGGAAGGAGCGTATCGTGTCGCCAAAAAGGAACGGAGTGATTCTGCTTACTCCCTGGAGGAGTTAAAGACCAAGCATATAAGCAGAAGGACACAGGCACTTAGTTTTGTACTCTGGAATTTGCACACAGGCAAGACGCTTGATATATGGAAATAGCAAGTTCTGAAGCAGATGAGCTGGGGCTAAACGGGGGGGGGGATGCAAAAGGGGGGCACTGCTGCATATAATGCAGCTGTGCAAAGCTAAAAGTGAGGGGGAGAGAGAAGGAAGTGTATCAGCCCTGAATTAAAAGTCTTATCTTAACAAGATCCCCAGCCGCTCTCTTTTCCACACACACTGTTTCATGCAGAGTTCCACAGCTTAAGAAACAAGCAACTGCAACCAGATGCAAATTCTTCTCTCTTCTCATAAAACAAAATCAAGAGAAAACAAGATCGCCTGACTTCTGGGAGTCACCTCACGCACGGATCTGCTGGCTCCAGTGAGTAACTTGTAAATTTTCCTCGAGAAGCCATTGCAAAATGAGAACGGCTCAGTTGACACCCCGGAACATCTACAGACTCATTAAAAAGCGGACTTTTAGCTTAAGTAAAACCACGTCCAGATTCCACTTGTGGAAAATGAACACCTTCTAACCACGCAAACTATTGGTGGCTCTTTTTCCTTTTCTTATCCAGAATGCTAATGTGAGAGGGGCTTGATGTATTAAAGAGTCCACAGGAAACAAATGACCCCAATAGTATTTTCTTAAAAAAAATATACATTATATAATATATATATTATATATATATATATATAAAGCAAGTGTAAATGCTTCCTTAGTATAGTCACAAGCCCAGAAGCAGCTCTCAGCTGTTCACCATCTTGCCATTGGCAACCGGCCTTAAGAAGTCGCTCTTCCCGTCCGCCATGATGTGGGCTGTCTTGAGAACAAGGCTGCTCATAGTGGCCGAGGTGGTGACGGGCAGGGAAGGCATGTTGCCCACAACGGATGCCACCGGCTGGCTGAAGCAGGAAGTCACTGGTAGGACTACTTTCTGTTTCTCCCTGATTGGCCAGGGAGGGGGAGAAAAGAAGAGAAAAGAAGCGGGGTGGGGGAGGAAAAACACCGATCACAACGGAACACGGAAGCCTGGGTTTTCAGTAGTTCCACAAGGCTCAGGACAGTCATCCAAGGAGAAGCCTGTTCCCCTCCAGATGTTTGGGGTGACACATGCTACGACCCAGCACCGTCAGAGACGATGGGAGCTGGGGCCCCAAACATGTGGGAGGTCCTGGAAGGCATATCCGGATGGCCTGTCCCTGCTGTAATCCTAGAAACAGTGAACTACGAGCAGCCTCTTGCATGGAGTATTGTACCACTCAGAAAGGGAGAGGGAACGAGGCAAGGAGAACACGGGAAGGGGTCTGTGCATATGTGGAAAGTTCTTGGAAAGAAACATTTGTTCACCGCTTGGAGAGCAGAATGTGAAACGACTTCCAACTAAGGGAGCAGAGTGGGTGAGCACCTGGCCCACGGGTACCAGTGGCCACTTAAGGATTCCCCGGAAACTTGAGATTTGCCAAACCCCCAGGCTCAGCTCCACCTATCAAGGCGAAGGAACCTCTCCAGGGGGGAGGATACGTATCTCAGCTCTTGCGGCACGACTTGATAAAAGAGGCAAGAAGCAAATATATGATGGTTCAGTGGCATTTAAGAAGAACATTCTGTAAAGCTCGTGAGTTCTAGAAATCTCCAACATCTTTCCTTGGTATATCTGCATTTTGGAGAAAAATATATTTGGGATGCCCTTGTCAAAGCACAAGTATTTTTAAAATAATAATAGTATGTTCTGTTTATCTACCAATATATAGGGATATAGAACACATACGACGTAAATGCCAATAAAATATTCTATTTTTGCATCTTGCCTCTATTATGGTGCGGTCCAGTTGTTTTTATGTCGCACAATAAATAATAGATTTAAACCATGTAAAAGCCCACAGAGCTCTTTGCCGGGTAAGCAAAGGCAAGCCACCTGAAACCAAATCTCGGCTGTGCCTGCCCGCCCGCCCCCGCCCCAGGGACAGTTTGCAGACCTCGCGGATCGGGGCAGGCAACCTGGGGCCCCGGCGTGCGTGCGTGTTGCACCGCAACCCCCCCCCCCACCTGCCAGCGTGCCCCGTGGCAAGGGACGGGAGCTGCGGCCCAGCACTTCCGGCAGGCAGCCAGCCCTTCCACCGAGCAACGATTCCAGCTGCGGGGCCGTCATGAAAAGGCGAGCTGGGCTCGGACAGGAGGAGGCCGGGGTGTGGCGAGCGGCCGCAGGGGCTGCGGGGGCGGGGGGGCAGAACGGAGTCCCCCGGGGAGGGGAGCCTTTCGGTCGCAGGGCAAAGTTGCTGTCGGTGTCCAACACTCACAGAATAGCAAGGTCTTCACCTAAGTTGGGCTTCTTCTGCTGCCGGGGCTCCTTCTGGGGCTGCTCCAGGGGGTGGCCGTTCTCCAGAGCTGACCCGTTGAAGAGACTATCGTCTTGGTCGCTGATCCCAAGCTGCAGGCCTAGAATTTCCTGGGAGGAGGAGGAGGAGGAACATAAAGGCATGCCTTTCTTGGGGGTGGTGCCCAAATAGCAGCCGCCACTGGAAAAAGTAGAGAAAAATGAGATGCTCGGAAGAGGGTCGCGGGGGTCACGTGTACCTTGCCAAGGCAGTCCCTAAAACGAAGGATCGGAGGCACCCTATGGAGTTGTTCCTGAAATACAGGGTGGTGCCCCCGATTTAAGTTGCTGGACAGCTCTTGCCACTCAGAGGCGGCGGCGCTGGGCTAGACAGTACAATGGGCCTGGTGCAGTGGAGGAGCAAGGAAAACTCAGTCCATCCAGCCCAGGCGTGTCAACACTGACTGGCAGCAGCGGGCCGCTGGGGCTCAGGCAGCCCCATCGGGACGTGGGGCTTGGGGGCCGAAGCCCGGCCTTCCTCCATGCAAAGCAGGAGCCCTAGCTCTGATCCAGCCGCTCCAGCACAGCTTCACGCGTGCCCACACAAGAAGCATCCCGACCTCCCAAGCCTACGCATCTAGCTGGAACGGAGGGCTCAACACGGGGGGGGGGGGGACATAAGACCCCGGAAAATGCTGCTTTGGGGTTTTCACAGTTCCTGTGGAAGCCTGGCAGCACTGCCAGCCGCTCAGGGCTTCTGAGATGGGACCAACCGCAAACCACCCACAAACCCAAGCACCCGCCGTTCGGGGGGTGGAGGGAATACGTGTCTGTACCTCAATTTGTTCTCCCTGCCCGTCAGGGTCGTCGGCGTCAAGGGCGGAAAGTTCTAGTTCAATGTCTCGATCCGGCTTTGTGTCTGCTGCATCTTCAGCATAGTTAGCCTGCGGCACGGGAGGGAGGGAGGGAGGGAGGAGGCGTAAGGCCTGGAAGGAATGCGGGGCGCCCCACGGCAGGAGGAGAGCAGAGGGGTGCCGAACCGTCTCCACACCACGTGGGCAGCGGCACCTGCTGCTCCAGTCACGCCTTGGGGGGAAGCCGGGCGTGGCGAGAGCAAGTTCCCCAGGGCAGGCTAGCCCTGGCTTGCCCTGGGAACCGCACGCACGTGGGCCGCCGAGCCAGATTTTGTCTCTGATGCTTCAACAAGCATGTTTCACGCTGCATTTATCCACCGTCCAACTCACTAAAAACCCACTTTTTAAAAAGCATGTGGGAAGCAGAACCGCTCAGCAGCTGAGGCAGTGGGCTTCTTCGACCTGGCAGGAGGCGCTCTGTCCCTCCACTCCTGGAGAAAAAGTAGGGAGGGCCTTCCAGATGCACATGGAAGGAACTCCTGTTCCCAGCCCTGGAACCGCCGCGTGGCTCTGAACGTGCCCCCTCCTCTCCCTGCGTGACCGATTCCCCGCGAGAGCACTTGGGCGGTGGCAGCGGCAGCGGCAGCGCGAGGACGCCCCTCCGGGCCTCCCCTGCTCTTGATACATTCAGGGTCCAGCCAGTTTACCTCACCATTCCTCAGATCGACTTCCTTGCTCAAGAGGTTTAGCGCGAGGGGGCCGTCCTCGTGCAAGGCGCTCCACTTCTGCTGCGTGGCCAGGGCGTTGGCCTCTCTCTGCAGCAGCAGCGAGTTGCTTTTGGCCTGCGTGGAAGGGGAGGGAGTGAGGCGGGAGCGCAGGCGGGCTCCCACGACCAAGTGCCCCCCCACATGCAGGCGGGATGCAGCTGCCACGGCGACCCTCCGCTTCCGTCGCCCTCAGGCTTCCCAGGGCACGCGAAGCAGAGCAGCCGGTGCTTTGCAAGCTCCCAGCCTGCACATTCCCGAGGAACGAACGAACGAACGACCGAGCTGCCGGAAGAGGCGCACCTGTTGCAGCTCGAGGCTCAGTAGATCCCCGGTGCTGGAATGCTTCCTGGGAGCAGACACGTCAGTGATGACGAAGCGATCCCTTTAAAGAGAGGAGGGGGAGGGCTGCCGGTCGTTCTCCCCACGAGACGGAAAATGAAACCTCTTGCACCGCACCGCCCCCCTTAATTAAGCAGGCTGGTTCCTGTCCATCTTCTTGCTCTGCTAAGCCCTGTGCGCCACGCTCCCTCAAAGCCCCGCCTGACCTGGGCAACTCGGCAATGCTGCCACTGGCTGAAGGGCCGGTGGCAGCGCCCGCCCAGGGCCCGGCACCCCTCCTCTTTGGGCAGGCAAGGGAGCGGCAGAGGCTGGACTGAGCACTGCCTGGCCCCTGGATCCCTGCAACTGAGGTCCCCCAACTCTCTCCCCCCGGGGGGGGGGCTCGCATGTCCCTGGAGTGGGTGAGCAGCTGGCGCAGGGCCTGGCGCACGTACCGTTCCAGGAAAGGCGCCGATGAGGTCGAATCTGAGCTGTAGGAGCTCCATCTCGAATCCACAGTGCTGACGTAAGGGATATAATCTGCGGCAGGGAAAAGGGGAGCCCTCAGCCAAGACCTGCGAGAGCCCTCCCGGGGGTCGCCTGTCCCCCCAGCCTCCGCCGGCCCCATTGCAGGCTCGCAGCCAGGCCCAACCTGACACGCTGATCGGCTTCGTGGCACTTCCTTGGGAAGCAGTGGCTTGAACGGGGTCCGTGGTGTGGTACCCAGTGCGGGACGAGCGGGAGATGGCGCCCCACTTGGAGATGATGGGCCCGTCGCCAAAAGGGATGATGGGGTCTTCCTCCTTCGCCCTCCTCTGTGCTTCGAACAGGTGCGCCCGCCGCTTCACGTCCCCGCTGTCGAGATCCTGCTCGGAGTGGAGAGCAGGGGGCAGGCTCACCTGGCTGGCGAACGCCTTCGCGCCACAGCGGCCGGCTCCAGCCCCGCAAACCGCCCTGGGCCACCGCTCTGCGGGCACCCACCCCGGGCGGCCTGCTGAAGCAGGCGCGGCTCGACAGGCGACGCTGC